TTTTCCTCCGCCTCCGCCTCCCGGCAGCCTGCCCTGCCTGCCCTGCCCCCTGCCTGCCTCCCTCTCTCCATCCCTCTCCCTTGTGCCCTTCAGGGCAGTGCACCAGTCACTTAGCGGGGACTCTAACACCTCCGTGCCCAGCCCCGCATGGAGGACACACGCTGGGGACGGCAGCATGATGGATGAGGCTGCAGGTGGCTTTGTTGCCCGCTGGGGCTACAGCGAGGAGACCTCCCCTCGGAGAAGCCTGATATTTTCCAGGAATTTCCTGAGGGAGGGGACCCAGGCCGCTGGAATGAGAGCCAGCTGTGGGGCTGAGGCTGGGCGGGGGAGGGGGCTCGGGCTTCCCTGCTGAGTCAGCGAGCATGCCTGGGTAGTGTACAGGCTGAGTCAGGGCAGGGGGCCGCGTGGGGGCTCTCAGTCTGCAGGTGGGCCAGGGGAAGTGAATGTGGCTGAGACCCCTTCTCCCCACCAGCCCCACCCACCCCCCTCCACCTGGAGCTTGCGTAAGGGACCGCTGGGGATGGATGCAAGATGGCAAATGGGAAGAAGCCTCTGGCAGGCGCTGGGCTCCTGGAGGCAGAGGTGGGCCCGCTGCAGGGAGTTGGCTTGGGCGGCCCCAGGGCTCCTGCATCTCAGCCCCAGCTGCCGGCTCCTCCTTCCTGCTCTCATCCCGTCCCTTTCTGAACCAGTCTGGCTGAACTGCAAAGCGTATCTGGTGTTTGGGCCCCTTCTGCTACGGACCTGCTGGGCCAGGCAGGCTGTGCTTTCTCCTGAACCGGAAATCCTCGCTCGGACCAGACGGCCTGGCTTCTCCCAGCCATGAGTAGAGGTGTGGCCAGAGAGCCTGGGGCAGGGTCAGGGGGGTGAGGCCTGGAGGACAAGGTCGAGCCCCTGCCAACCTGGGAGGGGTGCCCAAGAGCTGCCCTTTGGGGGCCACTGCAAGGGGCCCTGGTTGGAGATGGGGTTGGGGTAGTAGCAGCAGGGAGTTGGAGGCAGGGTATGTAGTCTCACGGGGGCACACGCATGCGCGCACACACACACAGTCCTTTTCTGTCCGTATCCCTCAGCATTGAGCCTGGCACCCTATGGAAAAGTGAGTCCTGATGCCAGCCTTGTAGGGCCCTTGTCCTGCTCACAGTGCTGGGTGGGAGCATCCCCTTGGGCAGTGGGGCCGTTCGCGGACATCTGTAGCAGTTACCTCGCCGCGGAGGGCAGGCGGAGCCTTGCCATATCGGGCTCCCCTGGCCTACCCCTCACCCCTGCGTCTTTCAAAGAGCCCCTGGGTGCTACGCCTCTTGCTCTAGGTCAAGGCTCAAAGCCCCAGGAGGCCCTATCAGCAGGGTACACTTCAAACATCCCCAACAAGGACATGCAACCTGCAAAGGGATTTGCTGGGATTGTGATAGCTTGTGAAGGCATACAAAAGGAATCCTAAGGATTTGCTTTTCTTGATGAGAGTGGCCAAAGTGACATCAGATATGGCCAGCAGGGTCCTGGGCCAGCCAGTGTGTGCCTGTGCAGGCCGGGCGAGCGAGTGGTGGGCGTCCCTGCCAGAACGGTGTCTTTGAGCTGCTGCCCCACTGTCAGGCGAGACCAGTTTGGCTGCTAGCCCCCCCAAACTTAGGTTACTTGAGGAAGCAGCCCTGTCCCCTCACCTGTTTCTCACGAGCGGACGAGAAACGGGGGGCAGAGAGAGCACCTCTCGCCAGAGGCCCCAGAGCACAGTCGTCCTGCCAGCCTCAGCCGAGGGGTGAGAAACCTACAGCTGAAGCTTCCTGGGTGCCAGTCTGGGAGGCAGGGCTCGGGAGGCCCCGGCGGGCCGAGGATGGGAGAGGGGGCTCTGCTCCCTCTGCGCACTCTCCCCGTGGGTCACTGCCCCCCGCTGCTCCCCAAACATGGCTAGAAATCCAGTCTTTGGCTTCTCTTAGCAGAGCACACTAAAAATCCAGGACGACCACACCAAGGGGCGTTAATAATCCTGAAGGGAAGAAGACCCAGCACCCAGAAGATGTAGAAAACCAACGAGGCTTCCGCAGGCTGGGGAGTCCGCTTGGACCGCAGCCAGGCTCCCTCCAGTGTCTGCCAGGTTGTGTCCCACCAGGCTCCGGATAAAAAAGTACCCCAGTGCACCCCCAGCCAGGGCAGTTGTCTGCATGCACTCACATCTTGCACACATGAGAGATTCCCAGGACCTGAGAAGCCCCCAGACTCGAAGAGTGGCGGGCTCTGCTTGTAGCCCCCAAGGCGTCTTCACATCACTCTACCACATCTGCCCCGATGGAGACACTCTGAGTTACCAGTGATTGACTTCGCTATTGAAAAACCAACCATGGGAGCAGGTGTTCAGCCTAGTGGGAAATACGCCTGCATCCCACATTAGAGTGCCAGGGTTCAGTTCGCAGTTCCAGCTCCTGACCCCAGCTTCCTGCTAACGTAGACCCTGCTTGGGAGAGATTGAGCTCCCACTCCCAGCTTCAGATCTGCCCAGCCACTGTCATTGTGAGTCCTCTCTGTCTGTTGCCCTTCCTCTCTCTGATCCTAGATGGTGAAGATGATGATGATAACAACAATAACAGTAAAACCAACAGCACTTAAAAAACATGAGTCTAAGCCTATTGTAAAAAATATGAAAAACCTAGAAAAGTGCCAAGAATAAAATACCTTGTAATCTTGCTAGATAGGCATAACCATTATTATCACACACACATTTAAATAAAATATTGTGCATGTGTGCACATACAAATACATATGTCTATATAAAACATTGACTTTTTTCCATATAAATTACATCATAAGAATTTTCCTGGGTAATTAAAGTATTCTTTGAAAATATACTTTTATTAAATTTTTTATGTTTAAATTTGTATTTATTCAAAAGCAGAGAGACAGAGATAAAGAGAGACATCCCATCTGCTGGTTCACTCCCCAAATGCCCACCACAAATGCCCACCACAGCAAGGACTGGGCTAGTTCAAAGTCAGGATCTTAGAACTCAGTTCAGCTGTCCCAGGTGGGTGGCAGGGACCCAAGTACTTGTGCCATCACCTGCTGCTTCCCAGGGTACATTTTTGCAGGAATCTGGAATTGACAGCAAAGCTGGGATTTGAACCCAAGAATTTTGATTAGGGATATTGACTCTTAAAAAAAAAGATGTATTTATTTATTTGAAAGTCAAAGTTACAGAGAAGGGGGAAGAGACAAAGAGAGATCTTCCATTTGCTGGTTCATTCTCCAAATGGTTGCAATGGACAGGGTTAGGCCAAACCAAAAACTAGGAGCCAGGAGCTTCCTCCTGGTCTCCCATGTGGGTAGCAGGGGCACAAGCACTTGGGCTATCTTCCATTGCTTTCCCAGGCCATTAGCAGGGAGCTGGATCAGAAGCAGAGCAGTAGGGACATGAACCAGCACCAATATAGGATGCTGGCATCCCAGGTTGCAGCTTTACCTGCTTCTCTGCAATGCCACTACCCTCTTTCTGAAAAAAAAAAAAAGATTTATTTATTTATTTGAAATTCAGAGTTACAGAGAGAGAGGGAGACACACACACACATACAGAGAGAGAGAGAGAGAGAGAGAGAGAGAGAGATCTTCCATCCACTGGTCATTCCTTAAATGGCCACAACAGCTAGGACTGGGTCAGGCAAGAGGAATCCAAGAGCTTCCTCAGGGTCTCTCATGTGGGTGACAGGGACACAAGGACTTGGACCATCTTCTGTTGCCTTCCCTGGTGCATTAGCAGGGAGCTGGATTGGAAGTGGAGCAGCCAAAGACATAAACTGGTGCCCATACGGGGTGTCAGCATTGCAGACAGTGGCTTAACCCGCTGTGCCACAATGCTGGCTCCTGGGTGTGGACATCTTAACCACTATACCAAATACACACCCTCAAGTAGGCTCTTAACCTCTGCACCAAAAAGCCACCCCTGTAAATACCATTTTAAATGGCTTTATAGTAGTATCCCATTGTATGGCACTTTAATTATTAAACCAGTCTCCTATTGTTAGGCAGGCAGGCTGTTTCCAGTGTGTTTGCTATTGTAAATAACAATTTAATAAGCACTCTCACATATGCATCTTTGCACACAGCTCTGATTATTTGTTCAGTTAAAGTCTTCAAAGTGGAATTACCAAGGAAGGCATGTGAGTGCCTTCAGAGTTCCCGGTGTCTGGAATTAATGTATACTAATTATTTTGTGTTAACTTGGGGGTGAGAGTTTGGCTCAGTGGTTAAGACACTACTTGAGGTGTCTGGGTTCAAGTTCCAGCTCTGTTTCCCATTCCAGTTAGGAGGCAGCAGGTAGTGACTTAAGTAACTGGGTCCCTGCCACCTACATGGGAGACCTGGATTGAGCTCCAGGCTCCTGGCTCCCACCTGGCCCAGATCCCACTGTTGGGACAGAATTTGGGGAGTGAACCAGTGGATGAAAGATCTCTGTCTCTGTCTTTCTTTAATATCTCTCTTGTGTGATTTTCACACAAATGGATAATAATTTTTACAAAATTGTATTAATGTGAACCATACAGACAGGATCCATTCAGTGCCTCATCACTCAGAACATGCAATTCTGTCCCACAAGCCCCCCAAAGCCTGTGGGGCTGCCCCTGGCTGCACCTGGACCCCTGGCTACCACACGACAGCTGCCCGCAGCTTCCCAGAAATGTCCCGGGAATTGGGGAGCCGTGAGGAGCTGAGCAGAGGGAGCTCAGGGTGGGGTCATCACTGGGGGCCCCAAGGCCACTCAGTGGGGGGGATTTCCTTTCAACTGATCCTTATGGCCCCCTGGGAATGTGACAAAGCCAGGGCCCCCACTCCCCCCACCCCCAGATGGGGAGTCTGAGGCCCTGAGCAAGGCCAGCAGAGACCAAGTGAGAGTTGGGACTCAGGAATGGAGCTCCCCAACTCTCCCCACACCCAACATTGCCAACCACTCCACCGGGGGAAGGGGTGCAGGCCCCCAGGGAGGCAGCCAGGGCTCACCCCCCGTCTGTTTTCAGCAGAGATTTGTTGAGCACCTGCTATGTTCCAGACATGGTGACACAGCTGTGAGCCAGAGAAGAGGCCAGGCTCCTGCCCTCCATGTTCTCATGGGGGAAACAGAGAGGAAGCCCCGAACCAAGTCGAACAGTGTTCAAAGCTACGAGAAAAACCGAGCAGGGTCAAGGGGATGGGTGAGTCCCAAGCAGGGTCGTGGTGGGGTGGGTACCTCTCGGATGGGGTCAATCTCGCTAGGCTGAGATCTGAGCCAAGGCCCGAATGAGTTGGATGAATGAGAGCCGTGGGTATCTGGAGCCCACGGGACAAAGCCAGGGCCGAGGTCCCGAGGCTGGTACAAGTGGCGTGTCAAGTAGAAGCCAGGAGGCCGGGGGGCTGCAGGAGGGTGAGGGAGCAGAGAGCACAGGGAGTGGGGTCCCGGGCTAGCCGTGGTCCCAGCCAGATGAGGGAGCTACTGTGTGTGAGCGCCTACAGGCCCAGGCACCACGCAGGGCACAAGTCTTTAAGGGGGTGGGACCCTGCTGTGATGGCCTGGCCTAGGCCAGAGAATGGCAGAGGGCAGCCTCTGCAGCTCTGATGCCCTGGTCGCAAAAACTCTGAGGAGGGAGGCAAGTTCAAGACCTGGATCCCACTGTGCCAGGGGGTGAGGGTCCAAGTTGACTAGGCCAAAGGCCTACTTCAAAAGGGTTCACAACCCCGTGGGGCCAACAGATGGGCACAGGTAGCCAGCCCATGGCGTGACCGAGAGAGAGAAGACTTCCTGGAGGAGGTGATGTTTGCATGGGGCATTGAGGGATGAATAGGTGAAATGGGTCCCGACGGACAGGAAAGCAGGAGATGTGCTTTGGTTAGAAACACCTGCTCGTTGGGGAAGGGAAGGGGGTGCCCTCCAGAGCTGGGAGTTGACTGTGCAGCCCAGGCCTTGACTGGGAGTTACTCCTGGGGCACAAGAGAAGGGGAGAGCGAGAAGAGAAAGGGTGCAGAAGAGAACTCTGGGTCACACGAACATGTGGAAGAAGCAAGTGATGGGGAAAAGATCAGACAGCCAGGAGGTCAAGAGAGAGGCCTGCGAAGGGCCCCTGGTGGGCAAGAGCTGGTCCCTGGAGGCTGCGGCCAGGGCCTGGGTGGCAGAGGCAGAGGTCCCGGGGCTGCGGCTCAAATCACCACCAACTGATGCTTCAAGCAGCACACGCCGTCCTCTGACAGTCCTGGGGGTCAGAAGGCCAAAGCCAGCATCCCCCGGCTAATACCAGGTGTCTGGGGGCTGGCCGCTGCTGCAGCTTCCACAGAAGCTCTCCTGGCCACCCCCTCAGCTACACCTGCTGGCTTACCAGAGCATGGCCCCCACTCGGCTGCCTTCATCTCGGCACCATGTCTGAGTCCCTTTCCTCCTATGTCCTCTTCTAGGGCACCCCTGTGTGCGTCAGGCCCACCCAGATAACCCCAAGGGATCTCCCCATCTCAGGATCCTGAATTTCACTGCTGCTGAGACAGGAACTCCTGGGGGTGGGAGCGGGCGGGGGGCGTGACTCAACTTGCCTCCTGGTGCCCGCAGGTGGCCCTCACTCAAGGTGGCAGGGAAAGAGAGGGAAGGCAGGTGGGATGGAGACGGCCGAGCAGGTCAACGTGGCTTTCAGGATTTGTCTTCCTGAGCCTGTTATGCTCCTGCCCCTCCTCCTTGGCCCCTAAACCCAGGCGGAAAATTAGAAACAGAATCTGTGTTGTCGCTTGCATGTGCTGCTGTTTCCGGGACCCCAGCCACCCCAGGCCCTTCCAGGCCGGCTGAGCTACGAATCAACATTTCTCACCCACAAAGAAGAGCAGCCCCGAGCCACCCAGAGCCGCGGGCTGGTGCCCTGGAGTGGGCGAGGAAGCCGTATGTGTAGACTGAACACTCAGGATGGGTTGTGTGCCTTTTTCTTTTACTTGTCTCTCCTCTTTCTCTTCCCTTCAGTAAACTGGTTTTCAACTTTGTTTTTCAGTGAAAACCATTTCCTGCTCGCTGTGGACCAGGTCCAGAGGCTGCGCCCGAGGCTCCCACGCCAACCGTCCAGTGTCCTTGGCCGAGGGCAGGGATCTCGCCGCCTTTCCCCCTTCCTCAGCCAAACCCTCACACTCCCGCAGCCGAATCGCCGGAGGCCGGGAAAGACCCTCGCCTGTCCCTTGCAGCAAGAGTGACAGACCTGGGCAGAGGCCACGTTCGTCCCCACAGACAGCCTCGCTTCCCTGCTCCACTTGCCTTTCCCCAGGGCAGCTCCGGGCCGGGCCTGCATGGGAGCCAGCCCCCACTACCCACCAGAACCAGCAGCCCCCAGAGAGCTGACAGGGACCTGCAGGAGCGGGCGCTTCGTGGTGCCCGGCAAAAGCCTCCTGGGCAGAGGACACAAACATACTGAGGACAGAAAACAGCTGTTGGCCCAGGATGGCAGGGTCTGGGGTGGGGTGGCGGGTACATGTCCCTGGCCCGCGGGAGTCCCTTCTCTGGTGGGAGCCGCGCCTCCCGCCAGGTGCCACCTGGTCAGCTTCGGGAGATGTGGAGAATGCATTTCACAGTGATTTCCACTGGGCCGTGGCACCGAGACAGCTGCGGGGGGGGGGGCACAGCTGGTGCCGCCCTCAGCCCGCCACTGAGTGTCTCTGGAGTGATGCCTCCGCCCCACGGCGGGTCTCAGGGCCTCACTTGCTGTGGCTCCAGGGGCCACGGGAAGGTATCTTTAAGCTGAACCCCCATTTTCAAGGGCAAGACTTGGCTTTTATTAAAAATAAAGTCCCATCATCACTTACTCCAGTGGCTCCCAAATCAGGCTAACCAGCAGGATCTTCCAGGATGTTTATTAGAAAATAAAGATAAATCAAGAGTTTCAGACCCCATCAGTCAGATCTCTTAGGGTCAGCCCAGGCTGGGTGGGGTCCAATTGCTTTCCTGAGTCCAGGAGGTTGAGCCCATCGAGTGAGACGGGGAGGGCGGAGTGGCGAGGGTGGAGGTGAGGGGAGTCATGTTTGCAGACCGGCTCATCAGAGAGGAATCGTAGCTGCCCACATGTCCTCGCGCTCAGCTTCAAGACAAACCTGTGTGCTGTGTCTGATTATTGTCCCTGTTTTGATGACGAAGAAACGACCACACACACACACACAGCCGGGAAGAGGCCACGCCAGCACTCAGACCCAGATCTGTCTCTCAACTGCTCGGCCATGGAAGGGATAATCTGAAACCTCGGTGTCACCTTGGAGTCAGGCCACCGAGTGACATCACACAGCTGCTTTCTGGACGCGCGTCTCTGGTGGCTCTCTCTGTGTCAGGGGCTCAGCTGGCCCTGGCTCAAGTCCCTCCACAGCAGTTCACCATGCACCTGGGGACACAGACGTGACCAGGACACGGCCCTCATCAAGGCGACCGGTGCATGGCAAAGGCACCGGGCTGGCATCGGAGAGGGACTCGTGGTCTCAGAGCTCTGACAGGGAACACAGTGTCCTTCCCGAGCAGGGGGCCTGGGCTGCCTGAGGTCTGGGCACCTGGCCAGACAGACGCGCTGGCACCCCCACGCCAGCTCCCGGCCCTGCGGATGCCTCTGTCTGCCCGACGACACTGGTGGCCGCGCCTCGTGCCCCTCTGCTTCCTGTCGACAGCCAGCACCGTGTCCGGCACACGCAGGTGCTCAGTGAGGCAGCTGTACACCCATTGAAAGGCCCAGGCACTGGGCTGAAAGGTTAGGGATTCGCAGTGAGCCTCCATCTCCATGGAGCGTACAGCCTCACTGGGGAGGAAGACAGGAAACATAATTAATCCATTACCATTGTGGTGAAAGCTGGAAGGAAAAACAATAAGGTGGTTTAGGAGTGGTGTGTGTGTGTGTGTGCGTGTGTGTGTGTGTGTCTCACCGAGGGATCAATGAAAACTTTTCCTCATCAAAGAACATTTACGGGGACCGGTGCTGTGGCGTTGCGGGTAAAACTGCCGCCTGCAGTGCCAGCATCCCATATGGGCGCTGGTTTGAGTCCTGGCTCCTCTACTTCTGATCCAGCTCTCTGCTATGGCCTGGGAAAGCAGTGGAAGATGGACCATGTGGGAGAACCAGAAGAAGCTCCTGGCTCCTGGCTTCAGATCGGCGCAGTCCCGGCCATTGTGGCCATCTGGGGAGTGAACCAGCAGATGGAAGACTTCTCTCTCTCTCTCTCTCTGCCTCTGCCCCTCTGTAACTCTACCTTTCAAATAAATAAATAAATCTTGGGAAAAAAATAGGAGCAAGACTCAACAATTAGGGGAGAGATAAATAGATAGATAGATAGATAGATCTATATAAAGAACATTTACTCTGAGATCAGAAGGATGAAGAGGAGACAGAAGGACATGGGCAGTGAGGAGAGAGTAGGGAAGGTACCCCAGGCAGAGGGCAATGGGGACACTGGGAGGCTGAGCCAATGGGGCATCCCCCAGGGCTGCCTCTGGCTCAGAGGTCTTGGTGACAGACCCACTGTCTTTGTACGGACACCAGGATTCTGCCCCCCACATTGCAGATGGGCAGTCGAGGACCCTGTCCTAGAGAAAGGCAGAGTTGAAGCCCTAAACTAAGATGGAGCTGGAGGGAGCTCTCCCCATGCTGTGGGCGCGCCTCGGGCACCGGATGCAGGGCAGACAGGGCCTCCCTTCGGATGACGAAGAGCCGCAGGTGGGTGACCCAGAGATGCGGCGCTGAGCAGAGAGCACTGGGCTCCAGCCCATTTTGCCAGAGGTCTAATGAGGCAAGAGGCCCAGGGTCTTCCAGCAGTGCTGGAGAGGCCGGGGGAGGCTGAACGTGTCCTAACCCCCAGGACTTCCAATGGTGATACCTTAACATGCAGGTGCAGGTCAGCGAAGGAGCCCATGCTGGGGACTGTCTAGGCAGGCCAGGTGTGATCAGATGGGGTCCTAGGAGAGGGTGCAGGACCGGTGGAAATGAGACATGATGCTGTGATGAAGGACCAGAGCCGGGAGCCATGCTCTGGGAGGGGCTGCGCACCCAGCGGTGCAGGCGGTGCCCTGGGCAAGGCCAGGGAAAGGACGGGAAAGCCTTCTCCTGGGGAAGCTGCAGGAGGGGCCAGCCCTGCCGACACCTGGAGTCAGCCCCGGAGGCTGGGTTTGGGCTTTGGAGAATGACTGTGTGCTGCCTCAAGCCACTCTGGGGGGGACCTGTTACAGCAGCCGGTGGGGACCAATACTTGCGCCCTGGGCGTGAAGACTGGCAAGGGCCGGCCTGCTCTGCACATGCCAGGAATCCCCAGCCCCGTGCCGGCTGGCGCCGCAGCGGTGGCCCACGGACCAGGGCTGGGTCGCGTGCGTGTGTGAGAGAGAAAGGAAGAACACCTCTCCCTCACACGTCAGGGCTGCTCCGGGTGGGCCATCTTCCCAGGCTTGTCAACATTTTTCTCTCCAGGAAAACAGAACACAGTCTGCACCGAGAAAGTCAGCATTTCACACGCGCACACATGGATGGACTTTGTGGTCCCAGGCAGACATGCACGCCGCACTGGCTCCCGGCGCCTTCGGTTTTCTCGGAATAGGGAGTGAGGCTGGGGGGACCGAGGGAACTGCCCACAGCCGCATGGTGACATCTGTTTCCCCACAGCTCTCCCGGCCCCTATGGCCCTGAAATCTCAGGGAAGATTTGACACACGTCTCAGCAGTGGGCAGCAGCTGGACTTTCCAGCCCCATTCCAGATGTGGGGCTGGCTGGCAGGGAGTTTGGCTTTGGAAAGCATCGGGGAGGCCAAGCGCCCCCTGAGACCCTTAGCGCTGCCTGCCCTGCCATGCACGTGTCTCCCTCCTCAGGGTCCTGGGTCTGGGCTTTCAGTGGGAGCTACAGAGTGCCTGTGCATGGGATTTGCACATGCGTGGCAAAGGCTGAGGGGACCAGGGAGCTGGCAGGCGGGAGCCCCACGGAGAACAAGAGGCCTGTGGGGCTGGGAGAGGGGCCAGGGCAGGAATTCAGAGGGGAAATGGACAAGGTGAGCTGGCGAGGGGTGCATGGGTGAGCGGACCTGGCCTCAGACGGAGCCAGGTTTGGATATGGGGCAGGCTAGGAGGTGCTGAGGGAGACGCAGGGGGCCCAGGTGAGGCAGCAGTGCTGTAACAGCAGGTGCCCAGCCTGTAGCCACTGGGAGGCCTGGTGCCTGGTGCCCATGGCTGCTCAAGCCCCAGACAGGACTGCTTGGCATCACAGGACAGGAGTGAGGGTCCCTCTGGGTGCCTCAGTAAGCAGCAGGAGGACCGAGAACGCCACTCGCTCTTGCTGGCCTGTGACTGCCCTTTTTGGTGGACAGAATGATGGCTCCCCAGAGAGGCCCACGCCCTGTCTCCCAGAACCTGTGAATGTGTGACCTGACAGGCAAAAGGACTCTGTGGACGAGATTAAGTGTCGAATCTCGAGATGAGGGGATTATCCTGGATTATCGGGAGCAGCAAGTCATCACCGGAGTCCTCACGAGAGGGTCGGCGGCAGTGAACAGGGCGGCTTGAAGACGCCACATGCAGCTGGCTCGGAGGGTGCAGGAAGGGGCCGCGTGCCCAGGAGTGCAGGCAGCCACTGGATGGGAGCTGGAAAAGCCAAGGAAACAGCTTCTCCCCTGCAGCCCAGGAGGAGCCCAGCCCTGACGATGCCTTGGTGTTAACCCAGTGAGGCTGATTTTGGACCTGTGGCTTCCAGAGCTGCATCATAACAAATGTGCGTTGTGTTAAGCCAGTACGTTTGTGGTGCTCCGTTATTGTTGAAATAGGAAAGTGACACAGCTTCCCATCACATGCTGGGCTCCAGACTCTGGCCCGGTGCTCCATACAAGGGTTTTCAACACAACACAGGGGCCCATTGCCCCAGCTCTGGCTGAGCACTGTGCAGACCCTGGCAGGGGGGCCAGAGGAGCTGCTGCTGCCAGCCAGGCTCCTGGCCAGGGTTGGTTCCCCCATGGCCGCCACCTTCTTTGCTCACGGGTGAGCCAGCCCTGGACATGTTGTCTCCCCGTGGGCCCCGCCCTGCCTCCCCCTCCCCGACCCCTCGCTCTCGGGCTCTGGTCTCCCTCCCAACCAGGGGGACAGGGTCTACAGACTGCAGAGGAGCGACTCCGAACAGACGGCGCTCTGGAAAGCCTTGTCTCTGGGCGCTCAGGTCAGCAGCACCTGCTGTCAGGGGTTTTAACAAACAGACTGGGGGACTGTGCTGGGCAGGGGGCAGGAGACGTCCAGGCTGGGTCAGCGTGTGTGGGCAAGGGACATCCCCGACCCCAAGAATGTTGATTTCAAAGCACACCCCCACGCAGCCCAGCGTCGCCAATCCAAGCAGTGGCATCTATTCACAAACTCTACAGGCACCCACACGCACACAAACACACAGGCCCACGAGCAGTGCATCTGCAAGGAGAAGTCAGATACCACCCAACACAAACAAGCAGCTGTGCACAGGCACCCACAGACACTTTACACGCCCACAAATGCAGACGCGGCCGCATGCATGCCCACAAACACTGACACACCCATGCGCGAATACAGGCCGCCCATGCATGTAGACACCTGGACACCTGGCAGCTGGGCAGCAGGCCCAGAACGGCCCGTGGCTGCCTCCCCCACCAGGAGCCCTCCTGTGCTCTGCTCTGCTCTGGAGACCTCTGCTGGTGGAGCCAGGCAAGGGCTACCAGGCCCTCCCCTTGGCTGTGGCGCCCAGCCAGGCTGGACTGAGGCTGTGGACAGAAGGGGAATAGGAGAGCAGAGGGGCCTGCAGGCCAGCGCCCAGGTGCTCAGCACCGCAGCTGCCGCTTGGCCCCGGAACTCTCTGGTCTTGGCTCCAGCGTGGAAGGAGATGTTTCTTCTCTAAAAACCTCCCTTGGGCTCCTTGCCAGGCCAAGCCTGCCCAGTGCTGCCAGTGGGCCCTGCTGGTGTGCCTGGTGCAGAGGAAAGGGCCCTGTGCTGGCCGCAGGAGCAAGGCTCTCCACTCTCCCGCACTCCAAGAGCTCACGCTGGTGCCCCCGTGCCTTGCCCGGCCTGGGCTGTCTCCCAGAGCTGCTGGGCACACAGCTTCCCTCCCAGCCACCCGCTGGGTCTCTGACTTGGTGTGTTGCAGCTCCCTGTCCCAGCTCCACCTCCTAGATGTCCTCCTGGGTCCCACCCTCCTGCTGCCAGTGGCTCCTTCGCATTCTCCTGCAGGGGGTAGACAAAGTGAAGAATATAGGTCTTGGGAATAAGACAGGTGAGCCTGAACTCCCATCTCGGCTCAAAGGTGGGACTTCCTTGTTCGCCACAGACCTCTCCGGGAGCTAAGCTAGCTGCCCTCAGCCTCAGTGGCACCAGGTGGGGTGGACATGGTGATAGTCTGAGGGCAGGGGATGAAATGAGACAATGTACGTGTGCCTAGCACCAGGCAGCTGCTCAGGGGCCATCTTTACCAGGTACCCCAGCATCACAGGAATGAGAGGGAGACAAAGAAAACTGCCCAGGACTCCTATAAGGGATGCTTGGAGGCTCTGTTCTGATGCGCTACTTGTGATGGGGTGTCAGGGGGCCGGGGTTTGGAGTGCTTTGTTCCCCAGTGGGTCCCATGTTGGAAGGCCGGCCTCCATATGGTGATGGGAGAGGCGGTAGAACCTATGAGAGGTAGGGCCTGGGGCAGGTGATTAGGTCACTGGGGGATCTCCCTTGGAAGGAGTTAATGTGGTTCTCATGGAACCCTGCTTAGTTCTTGGGAGAGTGGGTTGTCGTAACCAAGACCATCCCTCCCTGGTCTCTGGCTTCCTGTCTCTCCACCTCCCAAGTTGTGTTGCAGCCAAAGGGGCCTCACCAGAAGCTGAACAGATGGAGGCACACAATCTTGGACTTTGAGCCTCCAAACCTGGGTGCTAAATAAACCTCTTGTCTTCATAAAGCCTCTAGCCCCAGGCATTCTATTATAGTGACAGAAGTCAGACTGATACGGCAGGGGTCCCGAGGAGCAGGCCAGCACGATGACAGGCAGTCCCTCAGAGTGGGAAGAGGCTGTGCAAGGTCTGGTTTTGTTGAACTGGGGTCGGGTCAGGGCTGCCCAGGGAGACGGGGAGCTGTCCGTAGGGGCCCTCCTACCTGTCCACTCTCACTCCTCCGGGCAGAACTCAGCTTGCACCACAAGTAGGGTTGATAGCAAAATAATGTGACTTTTGCAGGACACAGAACTAACTATTAGGTTGCCAGGGCAACCCCCTTGTGTCTGTTGAGTCGATCCCTCCAGCTCGTGGCCCTACGGACTCTCTCCAGC